AGTTAACAACTTTCCGCTAGTTTGGGTGCTAAACGATGTTTATTTATTTTTATTATTTAAATTTTGAGTGTTTTGTTTAGTTCTTTGTGCCCCAGAAAATCGCAGTTAACGACCAGATTATTGGATTATTAAAAAATGTAATTAAAATTTCTTTAATCAATTGTCTATAGATCGCATGCATGTGCGCTATTTGTAAACAGGCCCTGAGAGCCTATTTCCTTCAGCTTCGTCAATTTGGATATAGCCCACGTAAATGCTATTTTATTTGTCAATGACAAATTTCTGCTTAATCGAGCCCTAGGTTTTACGACCCAGGATTAGAGTTCTCATGTTAAATTTGATATTCGTGTCCAGAGTCATGCGACGTGTTATTCAAAATTTGTTTAAATAACTGGATTGATAGGTATGAAATAAGTAATTAAAGTTTTTTTTCTTGAGGTTATCGATTTCGCTACCTTTATTATAGCATCTTCGGACCTTTGCTGAAATATAAATACATATGCCTTCTTGTTTGTAGGGTTACATTATTATCTTACCGTCAAATTAGTTAAAATATGAAATACAATTAAACGGTAAGATAATAATGTAACCCTACAAACAAGAAGTCATATGTACTTATATATCAGCAAAGGTCCGAAGATGTTATAATAAAGGAAGGGAAATCGATAACCTCAAGAAAAAAACTTTAATTACCTATTAATTCAATTAAGAAAATTAATTACCTACTATGGAGACATACATCAATAAAAAAATTGTTTAAATAATTTCTTAGAATCGTTGAAAGTGATCGAGGCTGCTGCCATTCCAAAATTAATAAAATTAAGTCTTTATCAAGATGTTTACCACCCGCACGTTAGGTCTCGCCTGGGGGTATAAATGACGTTTTGGAGCACCAGGAATCCGAATCAAACAAAATATCGATGATTAGGTCTTTTGCTCAGTCGGTCTGTCGCTCTATCTCTGTTTATGTCTCATTTCCGGCTAAACTGGTGAACCGATTGGATTCAAATTTGGTACACATACTCTTAGACATAAAAGAAAGCGCATGTGCAAGTGTGTGGGTGGGTGGTATCTGTGCTAGCCACAGGCAATTTTTGTTGTTCTTTATTTTCGCCACTAGAGGCCATCCAAGTGTTATAGATTTCTTATTACAATACTTATTTGTTTCGCCGTCAGAGATCGTTACTATCTCTTCCTCTTTAATTTGGTATTGCGTGCAGTTGTATTCCTTTTTCGTGAAAATTCAACCGTCATGTTGGGTTACATGCAAATTATTTTTCTTCGGTACGCCATTACTTTTTTTTACTGACTTCGTATTTACCTGTGTAAGGGCTTATTGGGTTTTGGCTGTCACCATATCTCGTTGAAGTGGTTTCTCTTTCTCTCTCTGATGTCTGTGATGTGTGCTCCTTTGATTAATTAAAATTAAATGTACATTTATGACGCAGCATTTGTCTTCATACGTGATTTTTGTGGGACTTTATCTTCTTTATCTTCCCTCAACCCCCAAAGTTTTCTGTTAAGTTTCTCATCGTTGTTTCTTTTGAATTATCTTGTACGTTATGATCTAGGTGGATATTACTTTTTACTTACGCAGTACGTGAATGACATCGTATTTTTACCTGGACCCGCTATCTTACAAGATTGACATTGGCGGCGTCATGTGATCTACCTCATTCCACATACATTAACTTGATGAATCTACTTAATTCTATCAACATTACTACCTACTCGCAGCTTGTACCTAGAGATTTCAAGATCGTTTCTGTAACCGCACATATTCACGAAACCTTTTGGAGATTGTCGTCTTGTAAATTACTCCGATATATCTGATTTTAGTTACGCTACTTGTTTCACGACGATGAACCTTCCGAGGCCAAATCCGAAACAGATATGTATCTACAATTTTTAGTTAATTGTGCGTAGTAAAGTAGATTTCTTGAATTTACCATCGCGTTTATATTTTACATTTATATATAATTACCGTTTGTACGAACAATCCGTGGTCGAGTCAAAATTTTGCTTTTGTTTAGTTCACTTAAATTGAATTACTGATTCTTATTGGGTATTAATTACGCTTTTAGTATACGATTTACCTGATCCGTATCAGACGTTAGACGTTGCTTCCGCAATATTATTGTGCCGCGTGTTATTATCTGTTACAGAAAAAGCAGAACGCGCCCATTTGAGCTCACAAGGTCGCAACCTGAAGTTCAAAGGTAAACTTTTTTATTTTTCACAACTTCTTGATATAACGTTTGATTACCTATTGATTTTCGATACAATTGAATTGTAATTACTACCTTTGTTTGATATTTATTTAACAATTATAGCTCCGTTGTTTACTGCGGCCTGTTTCAATACTAATACTTTCTCTGACTATGTGTTGATCTATCTTTTTACTAAAAATTTATTTAAATTTAAATATTGACATTTCAGATCTAGATATTACAGTGTTCTATTTGTAATATTTTCATTTATTAAATTACCCACGATTGTGACATAAATTCTTGTTTATGTTCTATCCCCGCCAATTATTTTATTTCTTTAGCTAGTCAAGACCAGACCAAGAATATCTTAGTCTGCCTTGTTGTCCCCCTTTAGGTAAGTACTCGCTCTTCCCCTTTGAAAGGTTCTAAAGACTGTCGCGCCTCTCCGGGTTACCTTCCTAACTAATACAAGTGGTATTCTCTCTTAACAAGCCCGATATTTTTTTAATATTGTGTAGTATTCAAGTATTATATCCCAAGTGCACGCCAAATACCTGAATATTTCGCGAAATACTCAGATCTGGTATTTGGCGTGCACGAGGGATATACGGGATGACTATTGCCCGACAAAAATTTTGCAAGATAAGAAGAATATAATGTTTGTTTCGATCCTTTCAAAGACTTGGTTTTTCAAAAAGCATGAAACCGAAAATAAGCATGGGTTCAGTTACACATTGCCATTTTACAAATTGTAATTTTCGTTAATAAAATTTGGAATTATTTATTTAAGTTTCATTTTAGGTAATACCCGCGGGTATTGCACAAGTGCATGAATACTCGAGGATATTTGTCTGTTGCTAGGTGATTTCTGTAATATGCATTAATATGATTGGTTGAAATTTTCTGAGGGCAATAGTTAACAGTATTTTCTGGTATTGTTTTCGTATTGCTTCAGTATTTAATAACGCATTTTTAAGAATGACAAAAATGTACTATTTGTTGCTTGAAGCTGTGCCAGACAAATTGCGCTGTCTTAGAGGGGAGAGGGGGGGGGGGTATGAATTATTTCCTGAGATACTGTGTTAGAAAGTAAAACCAATTGGTCAGAGATTTTGCATAAGCTGGCCTTTAGTGGTGCCAACTGAGTGCCCATGAGCTTGTCAAAATATCAAGGAATACTACAAATTACCAGAAAACGTCACTAGAATATTGTTACGTTAAGGCAGACACCGGGAGTCACTGGTATTTTCTGGACAATCTTTGATATGCTCTGGTATTCTTTCCGACATTAAATTTATAAATTTAGTGCCAATTTGCATCTCATTGTTAGCCGTTCACTTTTCTTGGAACGTGCACTAGAGTTAACGTGCAAAGAGGGGGCTATACAGGTAATCTTCTCACATCAAGGCTCCTGGTATTCTGTTGGTATTCCCTAGGAGTTAATATTAAATTTCTGATAAACCTTTGACATAACATGACAATATTAAAATACCAAAGATTACCATAGAATATCGAGGAATACCACTTAAAATACATCACTTTGCCTTAAAGTCTCATTGATTTAAGACAATCTAATGATGTTCTGTATATAAAAGAAGGTATAGTCTATAGATGTCGTATTAGTCGACGAAAAAGAACACCCGGCCAACTTCCAGTGAGAACGATCATTTTAGATCTACGTTTTTAAAAGTAAGATTTATCCGTTCAATTTAGGGAGAAAATTTGGAAAATATTGGAGACTCGCAATTGAAATACCGCGTACTTCCTCCGAATACGGGTTCTGCTTCGATTTATTCTTCCCTCAGTTCCTGCACTCTATTTTAACTGCTAGTTCAAACCCTTAGCTTAACTTTTCCAATACGCGAGTATCGATCTTAATTACCCACAATTGTTATAACCTTGACGTGAGGCTCACGACGACGGCTCAAAACGCGTTGATTAAAATTTTCGCTCTCTACCCACCAGATAGTTTTCCTATACCTACGCAAAAAGTAGTTATTAATCGGCGAAAAATACATACGCGATAACGTTAATCTAGGTGTTTTGTGATGAGTAATTAATAACGGAAGAATCGACTCGGACACACCGACTCAAACCCTAAGAACATTAATTTCGCGACATCGTCATATGAAAGGCCGAAAGACAATGAAAAGTGCAGGAACTCTTAGAAATGTTTAAGAATATCATGGAAACGCACGGGAAATTGTGTGAAATTTTGGATACTTTGGAAATGTGTGCGAAGTGATGGAAATATGGAAATGTTTAGGAATTTGGTGACAATACGAATCCATTGGGGCAATTTTCGAATATTTTTGAGTTTCAGGTTGCAATGGTATGTTAACCGACCACATAGCATAATGATGTTGAATTATGTAAATATTTTGACGCTGTGTTTTCATTACAAATTAACATAAAGTTCAATCGCTCCCATATGACAAATCACAGTAGGCTTAGATTTCACAAATAGATACCAACTACTACCTACAACAGGTGGCTTTCTTGATTGAAATATTTCTCGTATTTAAAACCCTACTTTTCCTTACAAAAAATTCATTAAAATTACACAAAATTAATTCATTACTCATACGGGGTAAAATAGTGACAACCCCGCGTCGGCTAATACGAAATAATTAATTTTGTTAAATATCCGTCAGCTTACGATATTTTAATTAAATTCCTTTCTAATTTTCTCGTTACGCTTTGGTTGAGTGTGTGATACCAACTAACATTATACAAAATGGAGTAAATACTTGTTCGTCTCGTTTTCGCAATTACATGTTAAAAACTCACCCTCTGCTCATGAAACGATTACCCCCTTTCAGAGATGATTTTAATTTGCATACCTGAAACAGAAAGGAAAATTAATTAAGTAGTTCACAGCGATTAGAGGCAAAGAGAACAATTTTCAGTTAATTTCCCATCAATAACGATACGGCATTTCAGAAAATTAATAATTCATTGGGGGGCACTTTTTTAAGACTAATTATGTATTTGGAATGGTAGTGAATGGCATTCAATTGTACTTTTTTTTGTCATTTCAACGACCAAATTGGATTATGGCAAGAGAGTACGTTTAATTCATTGCCACCAGAAATTCAATTACCTAGAACGTTAAATTATTTATACTCGTACATGTTACAAGAAATAAAACTTTGCATGTTCATCAATTAATTTGTTTTAATTAATTTACCATATGAAGTTTTAAGGTCGCCTCATTTCTGATTAAGGAGGTGAAAGAGAAGAATCAATATTAGAAACAAATAAGGTTTTGTTAATCATCAAGGTTGATTAATTGTTTTTGTGGCAAAGAATAACGTGAGCAGGGTACAAACGTTGTATTATCGTACCTAATTGCTGAAAGTTGGTCATGTGAAGGACGAATTTGCGTGTTTTTTGTCCATCCACTTTGACTTTGATTATAGACGTTTGGCAATTTAAGCATGGATATCTACCCACATAAAGAAGGGTCAAGTTACGTTTCTTAGTTGACAGCGTATGTCACTTGATACTTTATCTCACTGACCCTTGTCTCCACATTTACATAACCGACGCGTAAAGTGCTACCGAGTGAAAACCGCATGACATTAAACTTGCGAAAACACGTTTGTACTGTAATTAGGTGAGTTTAATTAGATAATTTTGTCGAGTAATGGCAAAGAGCGCTGGAAGGGTATAAAAAATTCTCATCGCATAATATGCTAATAAGTGCAAAGACTAAAGGGGGAGTGCTGGTACTAGATTATATTCTCTAAATTTACAACTCAAGATTTTAAAAGACCAAAGTTTGAACCTCGAATCTTATCTTGTCACAATCTCGGTGTTTCAAATTTAACACTTTAGCGGTAGAGTTGGTCACCGAAACTTGGATTTAACACTAAGAGCCATCAGCTTTCATGTTTCAGTTAAATTTATCTGGCAGTCAATTTAACTGTAATATAAAAAGACCTTGAAATTTTAATCTTGACATTTGTATTTCGAGACTGAATTTAGTTACTTCAATGTTACGTCGTAAGCACTTACTTAACATGAGTTTTGAAGCTTGACGTGTGTAATGTGTAATGATACTTGGTGGAAATTTAAGATTGAGGTTCAAAACTGCCTAATTTTTGCCACTGTGACGGGTTGTGTTATTTGAACACGGCATCTACCTTTCTAATTGTACTGGAATGATCGAAACAACGCGACTCCCCAACATGTACCTACATATGTATCAGATTCCACAAGATTTGCATTCGAGTCAAAAAAAGGATTAACAAACAGCCATCCGATCATTTGTCGAAGGGGTTGATGTTATCAGCACACGGCCACCTGTAAAAGGTATTTCCTGCTGACGCTATACGAGGGTAGTTAATCATCCATATCGACAGACGACCAGGCGCGTCCATATTAACAATTTTCGTCTAGGCTTTGGTTAAAAGGGGAAATTTAGGCAGAGGTATTTGTGCTTTTGTTGGGGGCAGAGGTAATTTTTGAATATTGTGTGCAGCTTCGACAATTACAAAGGTAACGTATTCCGTTTACCTTTACGTCTATTGCATCCATCTAGTAATTATATGATCGTGTTAGATTATTTGCCAAATTAACAGCATTCCCGTACAGCATGGGTATTGTCAAGTATAACTCATTCTACATACAAATTGCCCTTTTATAATTATACTGATCATTTTTGAATTAAATGCAAGATTCCATTATGTTTTCTACGTAAATATGTTGTTTTTCAATTTACAGTATCCCTTTGTTCCTAGTGCTGCTTTTACCTGCAAACCCGCAAAATGAATTTATGACCGATTTAAATGTTTTATTTATATTTAGAATGTTCTCTTAGGGATGCTATTCAATACGAGTATGTAGAATTAAACGATGTAATAAATATTATAGCGATTCGTGGATGGTGCTGTATTTGGAAACATCGATACTACATTCTTAATTTAACAAATGCGACAAATCGGGAATTGACAAGTTAATGCAAATGATTCAGAAATTTTACATAAATTGGAAGCCAATACTAAAATTACAGAAGAGATTATGTTGGATACCCACTAAAATATAGAGAACAAATGAAAATAAAAGGTATGGAGAAAGAACAGACACCATTGAACTTATTCAAGAATAAGAGAGGGACAATAAATAAATAAAGACGAAATACCTACGTGGTGAGAGAGTTACAAATACACGGCCCGTCAACAGAATCCAAAGAAATGAAGAGGGTCTAGGCACGACTACACGGACCACTAACAGAATTGACAGGATGTTACCGGTAGCGCCCCGTCAAGGAACACACCGATAGCAAAAACGTTTTTTGATACCCCAGGCGATTGCACCAAATTACGCAATCCACCGGTAAACAAAATGTCATTTAAAAGTTATCTGCGCATAAATGACGGCAGGAGGGTGAATGAATTATGTATATACGCAGTCTAGTACACTTTCCTAGTGCTTCACCAGGAATTTAATGCTCTCTACCGTTGGCGTCGCTTCAATGCGATCTCTCTCGTGACTTAACGCGTACTTTCTCCCGAGTATCTCTCATTCCCACCTCCTTAATTTTTTGAAACTACGCCCATCCAACGTTCGTCAGCTAATCAAATCCACATATACCGGTTTGGTAGGTGTAACTCAAGACCGAGTGGACTGGAAATTTAGTTCAATCGGCAGGCCCCATGCCATATAGCTAGCTTGTCAATCACGACTGCAATATAAGTAAACTCCATCTGTAATCTAAACTAAGACGCACCACGTCCTGCGACTTTCTGGCGCCGCAAGCCTTCATACGCAAACACACAGTCAAACAATTTAGGAAAATCGAATTAAATAAAATGCGCTAGGGGGCTTCCGTTACAATGTTGATTGTAAATTCATTTCCTTGTTGTTTTAGTTCGAATTGCCTTAGTTTTATTGAGGAGATTATTTACCCAAGATTTACACTGCTTGTTAGAGATTTGCGTTATTTGTGAATAATTGTACTACACATATGAGCGCGGCAATACGCGACCGTAAAGGTTACCTACCTGCGAATGCTCCCTATTCATTTCCAACATTCTTGGTCCATTTACCCTAACAATTTTGAACCGTACTAATCAATCCCAAAATGATGAATACATTTAAATAGTCTTTTAAAAACAAGCGTTTGGTCGTTTCGCTAACGAAAGTGATGAGGATTTTAGGAATTCTAAGAAATACCAAATACAGGGAAAAACTTACATGAACAGTGTGGACTATTTTGCTCGAAACTGGGAGACTTGCGACCCTGTGCCACTTTTTAGTGAAACTTTTAATACCATAAACAAAATAAACGTAGCTACTTTTGTTTCTGAGATATAGGCCGAAATCGAAAAGTTTGAATTTTTGGGACGTTATCAGATCTGACTACCCGTGTAAGATGGAAAAAAAGTAAAAAGTGCCTATTTTAGATATTTTTACGTAGAATCAAATAGCATAGCCAAACAACATTTTTGGACAACCGGTTCTGAGATTTGATCCGAAGTTGTTACTTTTTAAATACAACACCCTGTATACCTTTTGCTTTACGGCAATTTTTTGCATTCTTTGCCCCGATTACATTGATGCAGGCATTGATGTAATATAACCTATACTTTTTTACTCGTTTTTTTATGATGATTATACAGTGTGTCCACGGATTGAGGTCAGGTATATATGATAATTTTTTTTGGAGTTGGGTCTTCATGTTCTGAGGATCGCACCTGCTTGATCTCAAACTAAGATATTGAACAAATGATCCAAATCATTTAATATACAGGGTGTTTTTTGCCGAATTCTAAAAATTATTCAAGAATAAGCTATCTTTATTTTAGCAGATACAAAAATGTATTTAAAAAAGTTGTTTAGAATTAAAAGTTATAGAAGACACTTATAGATTCGCCGAAACGATTCCAGTTTTGAAAAACGCGAAATTGTACAAACTATCGACTTTTTTTTACATTAACATGAAATTACAATCTGTTGATCTTGCTTTCTCGTTTCCGCGGTTCTTATGGGAAACGGCTACTTAACTAGACCTTAAAATTTCATACAAATCAGCCTATTATGATTTTTTCATCAGCATCCAAAAGATACTTTTGAACTGTTTGTAATAAAAATCAAAGCAAGCTAATTTGTATGAAAATGAAAGTCTACCATATACGTATGTCAAGCTGATATGTCTAAAACGTGATTGTTTTTACGCGATTTACTGTTTTTTAAATTGATGTCTCATGTTGATGAATAAAATCAAAGTAGTCTGATTTGTATGAAAATTGAAAGTCTTCCATTTTTAATTCTAAACAACTTTTGTTAATGCATTTTTGTTATATCTGTTAAAATAAATAGTTTACTCCTGATTAATTTTTAGAATTTCGCAAAAAACACCCTGTATATTAATTGATTTGGCTCATTTTTTAAACATCTTATTTTGAGACTAGGCAGGAGCGATTCTCAGAACATGAACATCCAACTCAAAAAAAATTTTCATATACACCTTATGTGCATTCAATCCGTGGATACACTGTAGGAATATTATATCACATTTTTCAAAATGTTGAAATGATATGCTTCTACGTCAGCAATTTTTATTAATTGGCGTTAGTTACCAAGGATACAATAAACAAAACAAAATCTCCACGAATCCATGGTCTACTAGGTTTTTTATTTTTCATGACTAAAATTTAAAAAATATAAGGTTGTGATACTTCAGTGTAATCCAGAAAAAGAATGTAAACATTGGCGTTAAGATATACAGGATGTTACATTGAAAAAATACCAAACAGTGGACATAATTTTTTTTACCATGCCACGTCTTTTCTATCTTGCATAGGTACTGAGATGTAATAACATCCCAAAAAGTCAA